ACTAAAGAAAAATGCCATAATACAATTTTGGCAAAAATCTGAAAGGCCTCAACGCAGACCGCTTAGCAACTGCAGCAATTAAAAATTGTGAATTGACCTGTTTGAGGTTAGAAATATTAAAAAACATGTACAAAATGTAGAAAAAAAGAACAACAACTTAAGCGCAATCAGGCATGTTCTTAATTGCCTATGCGTGAATTAATTAAGAAACGCCAGCAGCGCTTAGTAATAAAACAGCTGCTAACTACAGGGTGGCAGTAACAAATAAATAAAAACAGACCGGTRAAAAAACAAATATTTCAGGATTTTTTTTTATTCGCAAAAAGATTAAAGCAATTTTCTAGATATGTTCTCAAAAACGTTGAGTTGAAATGAAGGTATATCGCAAACTTCTGCGCGTCTAGACACCCAGAAACTGTATAGCTGGCACATTATTTTTGCTATTTTCCATTAATTATATTTTTTTTACAACCTTTTTACTGCCTAGCGACATCAGTCAGAATTTCCAGTATTTTTGCAATTCATGTTTCAATGGTCAGCCGAAAATGTGCCTCATCATCACTACCAACTTACAAGCACTTTGACCACAATTCTGTGCAGTTGGGCATAGCGACAGCTGGCGCTTGTACGTTTTGCGTAAATTGTACAGTTGCGCAGCTCCAGCAAGATTTATCGCAAGTGTGTGAGTGTGTGTGCGTGCAACAAAGGCGAATGTTAACAATATTGCGTCTTAAGTAGGTGGCCCAGTCAAGCGAGCGTGACCAAGTTGCAAGCGAGAGTGATGCGTCGATGCTTGGCCGCCGGTGCTGTTTGCGATGACCTTCAATTAATGTTGTTKTTGTTTTATGTATTTTTTTGTAAATAAATTTTACCATCACTTGTTTAATTGTGTCTTCTTTCGGTCGCTGAAGCTATAGAAATCAAAGAGGCATTGCAAATTAGCCATATTTAGTAATGTCGCGTATTACGCAATCTGTAGTCGACAAATCGACATTTCGATTGAGCGTCTCCAATGTATTGAGCAATCACTGTAAGTTGATGCTTAACGAGCTTAAAGAGTTTTTGATTTATGGACATGCATGCTTGAATACGATATATTCTTCGGGGTCATATAGAAATCAAGAATTGTAGAAGTGTAACCGTCGGAGTAGTTTATTAACTCTAAGTGAACATCGCCTGTTTTTTTTTTTTTAATTTATACTCAAATCTGATTTAGAAAGAATAATTAATATTTTTATATAATATTTGTAAAATATCGCCTGTAGAAAGGCTTAGTGCGTATAGAACAAGTTTAGTAAAAATCTTATAAGTAATTTCATTTTATTCTTGAATCATTATTCGTACTAAAATGCGCAAAAAAACACTTTCAGTAACTGAAGAAGTGAAACACTAAACAAATGATCCATATCAAAGCTTAATAGGATTTTCGTACACTGTACAAGTGTTATAGCAAAACCAGTCACAAACGCTACTGCYTTCCTTCCTTTTCCTTTCCTAGCGAGCAAATGTGTGAACAGTTGAGCCCATAGCAAAAACGCAGAAATCAGCCATCTTTGTTTGATTTCGTTTGAATAATGTTGCCATTGCTCAATACGCATATATAGTTTTGTACACATCTAWGYTTTCAATTACAWTTTTTCATAATRTAAAATATCRAAACTGAAAASAAACTATTAAAAATAGTTTATATATTTATAAATAATAGCATTCARCCTCTGATTTTGAGTTATTTTACGAAAAGTTCAAACATATTGAACTGATTGAATTATAAAAGTTGATACTTATTACAGTATATAGATATTGGCAACCCTGCGTTGTGAGAGAGCAATCAGCTGACACGTTTTTATGGCAAAAACCAAAATGCCGTGTATTTCCACGGCATCCTACGTTAAAGAGAGAAGGGAGTAGCGTTTTTCATTGTTCACTTACATTGCGCGCYCATAAGATAGGTCGTATCAGCTGACACCGGCCACGATTCTACGTTATCCACTGTTTCTGCTATTACACTTATTATACAGTCAATTTTAAAAGTTTTATAATGCGAAATAGCATTAATGGCGGTCCTTAAAGTTATTAGCGAAGTACTATATGTCATAAATACTGCACAAACTGAACTTTTTAAACGTCAATGTGTATTAAACACAAAAAAGCTTAATTGGCCAAATACAGGCCCTTTCTCTTTCAAATTTAAACTTAACTCAAGTAGTTCTGTTCGTAATTTATAATGAATTAAGTCACGTTTGAGCAAATCGAATATCTACTAAATAGTAAAATTTTCGCAAAGTTCTTGATTTCAGTTTAAATTAAACTCAACAATTAACTACAAGAATTTTAAGAAAGAAAATAATACATTATATGAAATTACTATACGCARCTGCAACATATGCACTTAATAATTACATGCGTAATTAATTATGGTCAGAACGACGATTTTCCTTTGACAGTGGAGTAAGGTAATACCCAGCGCAGCGTGGTACACATGCGCAGAACTTTTAAGAACAGACAAGTCATTTAACCGCCGTAAGCCATTATACAACAATTGCAATTAATTAAAAATACTTTTAAAATACTTATAATATATATATATATCTGTCTCTTATACACATCTAGATGTGCAGCGTGGTACACATGCGCAGAACTTTTAAGAACAGACAAGTCATTTAACCGCCGTAAGCCATTATACAACAATTGCAATTAATTAAAAAGACTTTTAAAATACTTATAATATATATATATATATATATAAGAACATATATGAACAAGCAATCAAATAAAGTTCGAAGCAAAAAATATAGTCGCTCAGCACATTTAGTTGGACTTTTAAACGGGTTATCGACATTAACGCGCCGCTATGTGTTGCAATCAAGCGTCAAACCATTTGTTCAATGTCCAACGCATAAATGCGTACAAACAATTATTTTATCAAATGCTAAGAAGTCAAAAAAAAAATAAATAAATAAATAAATAAAATAAAAAAGTACATGCAGAAATAAACTGTGCGAAGTAGATAAATAAAGCTGATATACAAATAAGTTGCAAGTCAAACAGTAGTTCAAAATCATTTGGCCGTAAGCGGCTTGTGCATACAGCTGCCATATTTTGCATTAGCCGATTTGTAAAAGCGCATAATTTTCGMACTTTTATTTAAATTTTACATTTGTATTTCGCTTTAGAGCATGAGATAGCRGCGTTACTAATAGTTTGATTGCGTAATATTTGACAGTTGACAACATATAATTGACAGCGGAGCGTTTAGAAGTGAAAAAATGAAAAATACTAACAAAGCGCCGACAAATTTGGATTTTTAAACTAAAACTGGGTCGATAAAGTGGTTAGGGTGACGAGTAAGACACAAGGAGACAATAACGCGTATTGGCTCAGCAATATATTAACTTTTCTCATTCGCTATATACAGCTGAACTCATGTATTATTTTTGTTTGCGTAATAAATTGTCTAATTGCTATGTTTATCAAGTAAACAGTTTCGATAAAGTTTTTATAGCTTTCCTTAATGTTTAAACTCTTMTAAAATATTTAAAAGTTGGCAACGSTATCAACTTAGTTAGCCAACAAAGCGATTAGTGTACTAACCCAGCACTTTAAGTGCCCACAATTCATCATATCATAACTCATTTAAAAAATAAAACAACAAAAAGGCAAGTTTAAAAACGTTGAAGCGAAATATRTAACAATTATTTGCCTGACAGTTTAGCTCTAATTATAGTATTATAAAAATAGTATTTTGTACAAAATAGTTATATTTAAATATTATTTCACATCGAAAATATTGTGTAAACAGCGCTTAATACTCGCATGATATTTATCGATTGCTAGTGCTATCGAAGCATAACTAAACAAAACATGTTTAAATTTCAAATATTTTTTCAAAGACAACAAATTCAAATTTTACAATTTACAACAAATATTTGCATTCCAATAGTAGATTTATATTATATCATATGGTACCAATATTTTTCTAGTTTATTAGCGGATTTTACCAACACCAGCAATGCTATCAGTTTCGCTAGTAATACATAATTTCTAACTAGTTGAATTAGTCTATATTTCTTATATGTACATTTGTATATTATTTGCTGCTCTTTTTTCCTTCTGTGTAGCGATTTTTGTTGCATATTACTTGGGTTTTCGTTTTTTTTTTTGTTTGCTAAGGGGGACAGAAGTTGTTGAGTAATAATTCGTAATTTGAACGGCTAYAATTAAGTAGTTGAAAGAAAAAATACAAATGCCGAGAAACTTTTGATTTTTCTATTAAATTATTGTTACATTGATTTGCTTATGCAATCAATAAATTGTGTTTATTAACAATGGCAAATTTAATTGTACTTGTRTAGTAGCAGTGTTGTGGTCAAAAAGCGTTGAAAAAAAAGCAAACAAGTGAACTGACTGCTGGTAGCTGATAATAAAAAACAGTTTTCATTTGAAAATGAGAGTATGGGAAATGTGATTATTAATTTAAAATGTACTAAATCAGAAATTTTTATACTATAACCGTTTAACTGACCTTGCAAAAGTTACAAATGACGCAAAGCAACATGAAAGCTTATACTGTTATTTAAGTATGCGAGCATAAATCATAGTTTCGGCTTATGAACTGTTCCAGAGATGGCAAATTAGTTCTCAAATTGGAAAAGTAGGAGTAGTAAAGTGATAGAACTCAAGACRAAAGTTCGTGTTAAAACTCACTACAAGCTTCTTATGTGTCTACTATTTAAATCTTGAGTTTAGCTATAGAAAATGCTATTAAAACATATGCCATATCGCTTAAGTGAACTGAAAAGTTTTATATAACGTGTGTTTACTGTATCTCTGCGGTAAGGAGTAGAACACATACTTATATTTATACATAAATACTTTGAAACACAATTATGCTTAATTAACTCATTTGAAAAATAAATATTATTGTTATCASAAACCTGTTAAATTCATGACTAGATTTTGTAATATGTATATCCAATTATATTCTTTTAGATCATACTTACCCTCGAAATAATGATGCCAGCAATGCTAATGCGTATCCTTGGACCTTTCAGCAAACGATAGCGCAAATCAACGCCGTTCCAGAACGAGACAAAGTAACGCTTAACCTGTTGAAATAACATAAAAGRAATAAAAAGAAAAAAGTTAACAACAAAGTAGATAAATAGCTGTACATATAAACATTATTAAAAATAAAGCAATGCTCAGTTATTCTGAAAAACAATAAATGTTCTGCAAAATAGTTATTTCGACTGAGAATTTACGTTAAGAAAAAGAAGAGACCAGCAATACTCYTCTACTACTTGCTGTCTGTCGCGTAAATCTTTCTGCCGTTGGAATGAGTGCACGGCTTGTTGCAGTTGGCTGACAAGCTGCCGACAGTTGTTAGCCAGATTTGATTTATGAAAACGCGATAATGAAAGATTCGTCTGTGGGAGTTAACRTGGTAAAATTTATGGCGAAAAACTCAAAACGAGTGAGCTGTTGAAAGGCCGCTAAAGCTCAAAACAATAAATTGAGACGTATGTGCTGAGGCAACTGATTGAATGATTATGTACTCGGAATTCGATGTTATCAAAAATAATAGCGGCACATGACGATTGGTTGYCAGCTGAAGTGCCACGGTGTAAGAATATAGTGAGATTCTAGGCGTGACAGAATAAATGAAATAATTGAAAAATAACGCAGCATAGCAGATTTAGTATCTGTACTATTTTTCAAAACAGATAAAAAGTATAAAGATAGTTCCAAAGTTTTTGTTCGAAATGATTATAGGTTTTTCAAATGGAGTTGAATAATCTCATTTCGTATAAATTTGAAACTTTTTACTTGAACTGGCATATTATATTAGTAAATATATTTTATTACTATCCTTATCTTATCGGTAAAAAAAAGCGGTTCGTTACCACACAGCGCTACCAGAGTATTCTGATAAAGTTCTATGAGCTTCTTAAGGCTCATTTGACAATTCTGAACGTTCAATCTCTCTTATCTTTCTTAAATCTTTGTATGTTAGTTACGGTGCTAGTTCCATCAAAGTATGGATTTTCAAAGGCCGTGACTTGCTGCCATAGATAAATTGACACGAAACTCTTTGATTCGAGTGAGAGCTGTCAAAACTCGGTATTTTCTATAACTATGCCAATGATGTCACTGCTAAAAAATATTAGATTGGCATTTTATAAAAAACTTTTGGGTATTTAGCAATTTCCACACTACCACTGAGATATGCAAATAGCGCGTTAACCATATTATTTTTGGCTGCTCCGTTCCCCAGTAGGACTATATCATCCATATATGTATGTATATAAATAATTTTACAAACTACCGACATCTAATTCTASAGAATTTCATCAATGCGCTAATTTGGCAGTTCGTTTTAGCCCTATTCTTCTGGCATCCCGCCTTTTTCACTAATTGCTGATTGACGGGACCCAGATTGCAGCTCAGAAAAAGGTCAGGGTACGCTGSCAGCTGACAACCGAGAGACTTAGAAAAAAGTTTCACATCTTTGTTGCTGCATTCTTATATAAAGATGAACTTAGTAATAATTATCGCTGCTCGATATACAATTGCATCTGATGCATTTATGCTACTCTAGAAAGCTTACACTGCGCCTACAGTGCGAACAATTTTTACACATACAAATACAATTTTTGATAYAGAAGATATGATATATTATTGATTTCCAATTTCATTTTTTATGTTTCCAAAAATTAATATTTTCAAATTCCAATTTTACACTTACTTGCAAATTGTCGCCACCATGCAACCGATAACCATCATAATCGATGATGACCAACACCTCAGGATAGATGATATAGGGCAATTGACGTTTGTTACGTGTAAATCTGGCTTCCGCYGACTCTAATTCACCATCCACTTCCTCTAGCGCTGCTTCGTCGTCATCTTCGGCTGGCGCTGCGCGACGTTGACGATGTTGTTGTAATCGTTCAAGTTTCTCGTTGGTAGCCAAATCATCGGGTTCCATAAAAGCTGCAACGGAAGTGAAACCAATTAATTAGAAAATCATAGAAAATATTAATTTGTGGCATAAAGGTTAATTGAGTGTTACGAGCTGTTTTTATGTATCTTGTAAGCGTATCGTAAGTTAATATTTTGAATTAATTATTATTACTAAGTGAGAACAGCAGGCATTTATGTTAAAGTTTTGCATTGTCTTTCAGTTCACTGCCCCAAAATTTGATGACTAAATTATATTTCGAAAATTTCCGCATTTCCGGTAGTCGAACTTTTAATGAACTRTAACAGTTAAGAAGCAATTTAAAAAATTAATTTTTAAGTACAAAAAAATTTCATTTCAGCTGAGCGCTTTAGTGCGCTGCAATCTGTTGGAGTAGTGCAGCTCGCAGTTATTGGTAATTATGATGTGCATAAAAATTTTAGCGGTTCATTAAAAGATATACTTATAAATGGAAAAATTGCACTCAAAAAATACTTTAATTTTTTTTTTAGATTTTGTTCTTCGTTACCGTTTTTTTAACTTGGATAATCATAAAAAGGCAATTTATTTCTTCCAGCATACTGACTGAAGGTTGCTATCAACCGCTGGTCGTAAAGTAAGAAATCGGTGACTCGCTTTTATATCACGTGGGCAGCAATGAGAAAAGAATTTAAAACATTGGAAAAGAAAAAGGTTATATGTTTTCTATTTTATTCTTTCATATTTTTGTTAAGCTTATTTTCTATTTGCTTTACTCACCGAAATCGCTCAAATGTTCTAACGGCTGGGCCTCACGTTTGTAGACAATGTGATGAGCGGCATCTGGATTTGGGCTCAGTTCGTGCGGTAGTGGTTTTATCACCATCTCATGACCAATGCTGCCCTCCTGCAAGCAAAAAACAAAAAAA